GAAAAGTAGTAATGCATAAATAAATAATCGAGTGTATTTCTTATGAGTTTTAAATCCGATTACTGTTTAATGTGTAACCAGCATTCTAATGTATTCAAAAAGTCCCAAAAATTCCATATTAAACCACATGCATTTGTCGATACTAGGTAATGTAAAATTGAATGCCCAAATTTTCTTAGGACACCGCCCTGGGGGAAAGAAATGCATTTTCGAATGTGAAAAGTGTTGTTTTACTGTTGTATACACTATAACAAAGGCAGAAGTATTCAGAATTTTAACAACAATTCAGAATTGTAACGGAACACTGTAGTCTAGGCAAACGTTCGGCAGCAATAGTACTTCCATAAAATGGAAACTGTCGCAGCTTTCTGCTGGAAAATTTCGAAGAAAGTATCTACCATTTCTTGTGTGAATGCCGAGGCCTTATGAATATTAGGTACAAACACAGAGAAGACATACAGAAGTACAACTAGCAGATCTATCACGAGCTACCATAAGCGGAAAATGTGAATTCATTCATCTCGAGCCATCCAGTCCTGATCTGCGGGACACATAGTTAAATGATAAAATTCCTAATTAACGGGTAATTCTGTGTGATCTGGAATTCAATTAAAAAAAAACTCAACTATTTAACATTAGTACATGTCGAGCCCTTTTCACAATGACTAGAGGATTGTCCAAAGTCGTTTAGCCATCACTAAAGGCACGTCAAGCATAGTCTGTTCATCTATTTTGATCGACTTAATCTGTAAAAGGTGAGCCCGGGAAATACATGGCGTATGAGTAACATTTTTTCCTACTCATATTTCTTACAAAAAAATCCTTACGCATTTTCATTTGATCACTCTTTCCTATTTTATTTTTACATAGATCTTCGCCATTAGCTTTCTTTCCTTTGTTACTGAACAGGCTTGAACAGAAAAGAAAAAATTTACACATAATCTGTTATTTTTTTTAATTTGTTCCCTGTTAAAGCTTGAGTTTTTCTCATTCTTAAAAAAAAAAAAAAAAAAAATCTTTAATCATTAACATAAATAATTTCATTTTCCATATTTCGTAAAAATCGTGCATCACTTTTATTTGGTTTACAACTATATTATTTGTTTGTTTATTTTTGCTTAATTCTTTATTAATAATTAAATATATGTATGTATCTTTATGTTTACGACATATCGCCACTAGACACAAATAAAGGCGCGAGCTCAAAAGTTGACCGAGAAGAAATACGCGTAAAAAAACTTCAGCTTAGAAAGACCCCAAAACATAGTTGACGGTGAAGAAAACGCGTTATCCGATTTCATGGCGAAGAAAGACTTATTTTGGGGGTCAACTATGGTTGCGGGTGTAACGGTATGTATGTAAATTCCCCAAAAAGTTTTTGGGGAATGATGCTGAAGTGACTGTCCTTGGCTTGGCCTGTACAAATCTATGTTTAGTTACACATCTTTCTTCGCCGAAGTCTTTCTTAAGCGTATTTTTTCGTAAATATTTTTTTTACGCGTTCGTCAATTGTTTTTCTTACAGTTGAAATAAGCACAAAAAATTCTATCTAAAACAGCCATTTGGCACATCAAAATCAGTGTTGCCCTGTTTTATTACTCGTAAGAAATTAGATAATTAAAATTTAAATATTAATAATTGGCATTTGTATTACTATACGATTTATAATATTTCAATACTACTACATTCGTTTTTCTACTACATATTATACAATTTGTTGGAGATATCTATAATAGTGTAATAAAAAACACCTGCTGTGTGAAAATTATTATTGCATTTTATTCCACCAGACCCAAGCTATACAATCTTTTCCTAACATATTCTGCTACCACGCGAGCAGAGCAGCGGGTTCAGGCTAGTTTTTAATAAAGTTTAAATTAACTTTTTTAAGAGTGTTGAATTTGTATTTTTTTTTTTTTGTCCTCAAACATTTGAATCAATCATTGGTCTATTCACACTTTCTGTCACAGCATCGCTTAGTTTAGATATGAACATCAACTGACTTTCATTTAGCTGATAGTGGAAGCTGTGATGCTTTCAATTTAAACTTTCTCTCAAATGTCAACTGAAATTTACAGTTCAACAGATTTTAATCTCCTGCAACCAACTCTGCAGTATTTATCCCCAAACAGTTCTATCAAAAATTAATCTAGACACTTGGAAAAATTTAAAAGCATTTTGTTCTAAACAACAAAAAAAAAGACTACGATAATACTACTTTATTTTTCGTAAATACTAAAGTTTCAAGGAATAAAACACTATTGACATACTATTTCGACACCTGAGTGGAAGATCGACCTATCTCGGTAGCCAGTTCGAAAACGCCCTATATCAGAAAAATTTTCAAGAATGCCCTACTTCAGAATTTGATTGAAGAACGCCCTATCTCGGAACTCGGCTCAAAAATGCCCTACCTAAGCTGAAAATGTATTGAAAATGTGCTGATACAGGGCGATTTTTAATCAGCAGCTGAGATAGGGCGTTTTTGAACTGAATTCTGAAATAGGGCGTTCTTCAGTCAGATTCTGAGATAGGGCCGTCTCGACCTGGCTGCCGTGATAAGTCGATATTCCACTCAGGTATCGATTTGTTATTCATTCCTGACAGCAGAACGAATGCCAATAAGCGGGGGCCAGGAGACAAAAAACTCATAGATGCACATTTGAGCCATTTATTTTGAAAGTGGCATTACTCGTTTGATGCTTTATGACTTCTATGATCTTTACCTGAACGCCTCAGTTATTGGCTCAACTTCGCAGGCCAAAAGCAAAATGTTGCGTCTTTAGTTTATGACGACAGAACGATTCACAGCTGCATTCAGTTAGAAGTATCCAACCGTTCAAGTGCAAGTAGCGGAAGTGACTTATGTTACATTCAAAATAAACGGCCCATATATAAATATATGCTGATAAATATGTTTCTCGATATGTGTGTATGTATAAATGTAAAAGTATTGTCAAAAAACAATACCGGCAGGCATGGAAATACCAAACATCACTCGGCACGGCTTAAAGTTAACGATTTGTTTTTTGTTTGTGAGACTTGCGAAGCCAATAGCAAAAAAGCAGAGAAATAAAAAAATTATTGAAAACCCGTTAGTAGCGGGAGAGAAATTTGGAGTTTTATCAAACTTTTACTTCGTTTTTTTTCAACATACTCGCGGCCTCCTACTGATATAGGGTTATGCGGGCAAATGCTAAGCGGTAACGGACTTTGCGAACAAACTCTTTACACAAGCAGCTGACCTATGCTCGCTAAAAAAAAAATGGCTTAAAATCACGAACCGGAATGGTGTGACATTTTAGTTTTAATTGATTTATGTGTTTCGTTTTAAAACTGATGCTGCAATGTCATGGAGCTGGCTGAATGCGGCGGGCGGCCTAGCGTTGAAATGGGCGGAAAAAAGTTTAATAGAAAAAAGCGAAGAGAATTTATATGGAGACTAGAAAAAGAATTGAGAACATATAGCCGGAAAAGCAATGTGTTCGCAGGGCCTTAAGTGGGCTCTACCACACTCGACACATCACCAGTATTGGTTTAAAGCTAAAATAACGGCTGGTCGATAGTAATTTTACGATGGGTGAAAAAGTGAATTTGAATTTTGGTTGTGTCGTTCAAATAAAATGCGAAATTGCTCTTGACGCGAAAGTTAACTTTCAGCTTAATTTCGTTGGATTTTTCACAGCGTTAGCCTGAATAATTGCAGTTGATCGATAGCAGTGTGATATTTGAAGTAACGAGTGAATATCGGAGAAGAAAATAAGCAAAAAAAAACGAAATCGAGTGATGTTTGAGTTTAAGTGCTCAAATATTGTCACTCAAAGTCACACCTTTTGTTAGTACAGATAGAAATAGTATGGCTAAGGCCATCATATGCAGAAGTAGATAAGAGATCATATAATTGATAACAACTGATAGGCTGGCAAATTTCTTAGGTTTGACCCGAGCAATCTCTGTAGATTGACCAGTCTGGTTCTCATGGCTTTCTATGTAATTAATGAAATTTTTTTTACTGCTAATCGAGTTTTCAGTATATGTATCCAAGACCGTAAGAGTTACAAATTACAAAGAAAAAAATAAATATCGCTCTTTAACAGTTATTTTTTTACTTTTATTTAATTACTCCTTAAATAATAGTTGTTTTTGTGATTTTTAATTTATAAATCCAAAATAACAATTATTTTTGATTTTATCTAAATAATCTGCAAAAAATTGTTGTTTTGATTTTTAAATAAAATGTCTTAGATGACAGTTATTGAAGACTTTTATATAAATAAAAATCAGTCAGTAACTTTCACTTTTAAAAGTCATCAATATAAATCAGTCACTGACTTTTATTTTTGTAAAGCACACGAAAAGTCATTTGAATAAGCCGTAGAAAACTTTTGCTTTCAAAAACCTTCTTACCTGCGAAAAATGATAATGACTTTTATACGTACGACTTAAGAAATAAATATCGGTGACTGATTTATAACGATGACTTTTAAAAATAAAATTCACTGACTGATAACTGTTATCTAAGACATATAAAATTAAAATAAAAAATAATTGCTATGTTTTTTTATTTTGCATAAAAATTACACATAAAAATGTATTTGATTTATAAATAAAAATTTATTTGATTCTCGTTGATAAAAGAAATTGATTCGTATGCATCACTTAGTTGTGGAACATTTCCTTCATAGTGAATTTTTCAATGACATTTTTCATCAATAACTGTTATATTCGGTCCCTGATATATACTACATAAAAATATCAGATTAAATTCATATCTCTACCTAAATGTGAAATTGTGCCAAGTCAACTTTTTTTTTCAATATTTAGCTTTGCGAAACTACATCAATTTTCCCCCTCTCCTGAATAATTCCAGAAAAATTTGGTTGGGACCTTATCACGTTTAGGTAACGATATAAGTATTTATGTATTTTCAATCTCAACTAACTTTCAATTCCTACATACAAATATGTAAGTAAATAATTAAATTTTCTTTTCTCTTCCAGACTACGCCCAAGCTGCTCTCAGCAATGTAAATTTATTCATTGAACCTCCAGCAGTACGACGTGGACAATCGGTCATTTTACGTTGTCACTATGCGCTCGAGGGAGCTCCGCTTTATTCAATAAAATACTATCGTGGCAATTACGAATTCTACCGTTATACACCGGGCGAATTTCCGAATGTGAAATACTTCCAATACCCAGGCATTAAAGTCGATGTGAGTATTGAGTGCAAAGAAAATACGTAATTTCATATACAGACAGAAAGCGCTTAAGTAGTGCAGTGACACAACTCTCTCCAAATAAAATGCAATGTTTAATGCAATTGAAGTCACGCACCTATCTACACTATTATCTCCAAGAAACTTATATTTTTTTGTTCTTTTAATTAATTCTAGTTGAGAGCGAAGATTTAGATTTTTCACAAGCTTAAGCCTGAAAGACAGCAGTAAAAGTATTTAAGAAGATAAGGACATTTTAAGCTACAGTTTACGGTATGAAAGCGAAACAAGCCTAGCTAGAACACACACAATTACTTGGTATATCTCTAAATCCTGTAATTTAGAGTATGTCTGCAGGGTGGTCCATGTAGTTTTTTTTTTTTTTATTCAAAAACTTACCAAAATCATTTTAGTTTTTCGAAGGGGCAAACAATTCTGTTATTTATAGAAAGCGGTTTCTTACGACTGGCTTCGTAGTAGTGCATCCGGTTGACATAGCTTTCCAAGACCTTAATGACGGTTTCTTGCGCTACCTCATGAATGGCTTGCTCAATGTCCATCTTAAGGGCCTGAATCGTTAATGGACAGTTCTCATAACATCGGTTATTTAGAGCACCCCACAAAAAACTCTAACGGCGTCAAATCGCAACTCCGAGGTGGCCAATTAACATCGCCGAGCCAGCGCGATTACTGAACTTGGCGCGCAAAATATGGACTTTGCGATGGAAGTCATGTTTTCAGTATTTGGCCACAAAAAATCGTTAACCATCCCTGTCCAAGATACGACACTGACTTTCTTTTCAGCAGGAAAGTGCTGGCACTCTCAAAATTACATTTGATTAAAACAAGGCCAACAATGTGTTTAAGGAAGTCAGCGTAAATGCTTAGCGCTTAGTGGGGGCTTGACTGTTGCAGAAGATGATTTTTGGTTAAGATTTGCCACAGAACGTCTTCCTTAATTTATATAAACTGAGGTTTAAGTCCACTAGATATTGTTTGCTTAGCTGACAAGAGATACATATGTCAAAGAGTGAACCACAACTGGTCAGAGGCGCTCACCTCCATAACCTGGTACCGCTTAAATCTAAATAGAAACTCAGAGAGAGGCCACGTACTCCATAACCACATTTTCGCGCCCCATAAGCGAGCTGAGAGCTGAGTTTGCCGCTTGGCACTCAGATAAAATTCGTACCTCCTACAAATATGGGTGTCACATCCTTTCACTGTATATACACTGATTTTTGTGTGGTAGCCGCTGCTATCTGAAAAAAATTTCATTGGCGATTAGTTGATGCCAGTACTACCAACCTTCCGATTCAACTTCGACTTATTTACGGAAAAGACCCTTCCTCCAGGCAGCAGAGATGAAATCAAGCCTCCTATTCAGACGTCGAACTTACCAGGCATCTGGTTGCCCTGAGCCTTACTGCAGCCCCAATTTTATGTGCAACGTTAAAAGGTGGGTATTATGTTCAGTATGTCATTGCGCGCCAAAGGGGAAGTGGTCCGCAATGCACCACATATACCAATGCAATTCCTGACATAAACTTGCAAGCGAAAATCTCCAATCGAGGCGCGAGTTAAAATATTGTGTTTCCTAGCGAATAAAACCAGTTCTGTCGCTAGGATTGAAGGCGAGGTCCCGTAGTAACCTCGAATCAGATTGTACCGGGTCAAGTAATCCACAACCATTTGCAACATGTCGTGTGGCTAGGTAATCGCCTGACAAGTTATGTTCAACAGCGCTCTTATAGTAAGTCATTTGCGACCACTATACAAATCAGAACTCATAACTTTATGCTGAAAACAGGCGCTACTCCGCTCAGCCCTGAGTTTTTTAGGCATAGAAAGTTGCAGATTACCTTATGAAATTGGCCCCTCTAGTGATTTAGCTATTGGCTATAGAAAGGTGTTGTCAGAGACGCCTCCTGCAGAGAGTTTTCCGGCAGATGAGTTTTAATAAAAACTGATTTTAAAGATGAAAGTAAAGCGAATATTCCCTGTTCATAATAGGGTTTACTGACTCAAGTCTCGGCAGCAGGGCTCGGTGCGATGACGCGTCTATGTGCTGGGGGCTCATGACACTCTTCTACACTTTTTAACCGCACACTGAACACAAAACTTACTAAAGAGAAGAATCAAAAAAAAACGCTTAATAGTCTAATTAATGCCGTTTAGTTTGATTTTGTTGTTTTTTTTTTTTACTCACATATATGTAGGTTATTCCATACAATATTTACACCTCAATTTTTTTTTCATGAGGTGTAAATATTGTACGGAATGACGCATATATATGTACATATATTAAAATTTATTTAATTATCACTTCGAAACGAAAGCATTGCATTAAAACACAAACGGAAGAGAATAGCATTTTATAAATATTCCTTAACATTATCTTCTTTTTCCCGTCACATTTCAGGAACTTATCTCCAATGCTACACAAGTTGTCTTACGCGACGTGAGTTTCAGTTTATCCGGCAACTTTTCTTGCGAAGTCACCGCCGATGCACCGCTCTTCTCCACCTCCACGGCCTATGCGCAAGTGCAAGTTGTTGGTAAGTTTGCCGCTTTCTCATTGCTTCTTGTTATCGTTCTTCTTAAAATTTTGTTACCGCTGCCGCGTGGCCACATTTTAACACTGCCAAAACTGCCAAAACTTTAGCGTTTTTCAAAAACTTTTTGGCTAATTATGTGCACTCATAATTGAAAAATTCAATTTACTTTTATGTGCTGAAGGAAAATTAAGTGCAATAATCAGCCGAAATTTAAAAACACTTACCAAAAATTAGAGAAAGTTTATTGCATTCGCAAGAAATATTAATTTTCGATTTTGAAAAAAAAAAAAACGAGTGGCGGATAAGTGAAGCAAGGACTTCCTATATTTCCAGCTTTTTTGCTTGCTATGACTACGAAGCAGCTTAAGAAATTTTAAAACGTCAAACGTTTTATGAATAAAGTATACGCTACCAGGTATTTACACTGTCACATTAAAGACTTGCAAACACAAACGCACAGAGTGTACTGGAAAAAAAAGCTGAAATTTCTAACGAGCTGTTACAGGCGTTTCATACTCGTAGAAGTGAAAAAGTGTTTCCTTACAGCCACAAAGGTATCACTGGAGAGAGATAGAATAAAAGGTGGCAAAAAAAAAACTGAAAATGTAAGGTAAACAAAGTAGGTAGGAAATGCTGCAAAAAAATTGCTAAGACGGCGTCGCAGCGTCACCTGTATTGCAGCTATGCAGGTCATAGAGCTACAAACATATTGTGTGCATGTAAAGCACATTAGGCTGTATCACTAAAAAAGGAGCTAAAATGGATATAAATTGCTTTAGGCGATTTATAAATCTTAAACAAAAATCTAAAGAAGAAAAAAATATGCATATTAGATGATGGTTTTGGATAATTTAAGATAATTTTTTTTTTACAAATATTAGTTTGAAGAATTTTAAACTCAATAATCACTAACCAAAGAAAAATTGTATATAAAGGAATATATTTGAACAACATAGCGCCGAAAACAAATTTACTGCTGTAAGAAATTTGCATATGACGTTTTTGAAATCAGTTGGATACATTTAATTTTATTTTTTGTGATGCAACCTAATGTACATCCATCATATCCACAGACAAACTACAGCTTAAGCTCGGCATCAAAAAAGTGGTGGCGGCCAAATGCAAAGTGCTCTGAGCGATTAGGGGGCAACTAACTTGCTGCATCGCTGCACAAAGTTTATTGCCTTGCAGGCTTTCTTTTCACACAGCCAGGTAAATAGACAAACACTGAAGTGGGCAATGATATGCAAAATGTATATATTTTTCTATGTAGTTATATATGGTAAATCTTTCGAGATGGGGATTTCTTTTTCCACAAATTATCACTTGTCAACCTATTTGAAGTACATTATAACCCGTGTCACCAATATTTTTTTATTGCTTTTACTCTATTTAACCCAGTCAAGTTGGATTTTCATGATTGCAGTAACTTGCATAAAGCTGAAAATTGGTACGAATGTCAAACAACGTCATTATAAATCAAATTTCAAAAGTCCTAATTGATCCCAGATTTAAATAAATCCCAGTCAAAATAAGTATCACAAGAACATTCACGATTTTTATAAAATACGCGAAATTCTCGCATTTGGTAACTGGCATATTTGTTTAATACCTATACTTTTATTCCTCATAACCTAAAAATGAACGTCTGAGCTTAGGTAAAATCGCTCGAGAAGATATATCGAGCCCTAACCGCCAAAATAACGTAAGCGACATTTTTTTCGAAATTTTATTTTTGATGCGGAAATGCATCTAGATGCTCTAGGAATATTTCTGCATCAAAAATAAAATTTGGAAAAAAATGTTGCTTACGTTATTTTGGCGGTTAGTAAAGTTTTAGTAAAATGTAGATTTTATGCGAGTGGCAACTGAAGGTATAAAATTCGCTTTTGCCAGTGCAGCTGCTTTGTGGTGGCAACGAAAACGTCCCCATTTCAAAAAATTTCCTTGTATGCAGGTAGACTTATGTACGTTCATATGTACATACATGCTATATACGTGTATAGACATGCAATAAATGTAAGGTTAAATGACTTTTATGATCGCAGTGTCAAAGTGTTTGTGTGGATAAAAGTTTTAAAAACATTGGCAATGATATAAAACAATTTAATATGTAAAATTAAATTTCAGAAAAGGAAATTTCTGTAACCCTTAAAACTTGCTATCTTAAATTGCGCGGGATCATTGAGGTGTAATATAGCGGTTTTGATTTTAAATTTTATTTTGTACCTAAGATCGGCATTATGACTCATTATTTCCATTTAAAGAGTATTTGGCATGTTCTTATCTATTTTTACCACGTTCTTTTTTTAAATTCCGCTTTTAAAAATACAAAGAGTGCCAGTTACTGTCGAAGTTCGGCCGCTTTTCTACTTCATTTAAGAGCCCCGAAGATTTATTCGTCATAGCATCTCTTTCATGTTCATTTCAGTCGTTGTCGTCATCCGAATGCATCCGTATTCGTATTCGTCGTGATATTCTTCTCCGTACCCAGCTTCGACTTAGTCGTCGCATTCCTTTTCGGATTCATCTCCGTATTTGTCTTCGTCTTCGGAAACTATTCATATTCGTATTTGCCTTTATATCAGTCTTCGCATTCACTTTTGTATTTGTTTTAGTCGCTGTCTTCAGATCGTATTCGTATTCGCCCTCGTATTCTTCTTCCTATTCATCATCGTATTTATCTCCGTCGTCTTCGCATTAATTTTTGTATTCGTTCTCTTCATATTCGTCGTCATATTCGAATTCAGATTCTTATGCGTCTTCAGATGGTCAACGTATTCGTATTTAATCTCGCTCGCCTCGTATGCCTCTTCGTATTTCTCGTCATATTCACGCTGGTATTTGAATTTTTGTTCATATACGCCTTCGTGTTTGTATTTGTTGCCAACTCTCTGTTTGTCTTTTTTTTTGTATTCGCATTCGCGAAAATAATATACCGCTAGCAAACGAAATGCAACTCATATTGAAGAGCTTACAACAAAAACTAGACACAAATACGGAAAATTTGACATGGCGATTGAAGCCGTAATTTTGCTCCAATTTTGAAATCATTAATACCTTTCCAATAATGGGTTTGCGGACAAAATTTAAGTGAGCGTATTAATGTATAGATTTCTTATATGGCATCAAAAATTTACGCCAGTTGTTCATTCCTAAATTAGACAAGTCCTTCTGCACTTGGTCCGTCCATTTTGTTCGCCGATTTATTGATTATGAATGTTGTGCTCTACATAGCCCTCTTAGTTTAACATGGATCTCAAAGTTAGACTCGCTGTAAAAAGCTGATTTAAAATCCATTGGCTTATCTATATTATATGGAGATGACCATCATTTGACCTGCTGCCAAAATCTGGTCGATGGTGGAGTTTCCAGTTCTAAAGGCGCACCGATAAGGGCCAATGAGTTGGTTGAAGATGGGCTTCGGCCCTTCATTCAGTATTTTCGCAAGCAATATTATGAAGGCTCATGCCATGATAACTTGCCCAAAAGGCGGTGGATTAGATACAAACTACATTGGGATTCTAATCTTTTGGCATGTATTCTTCGTTCCATATTCTGCCTTCCAGCTGGTAATGCCAAACTAGATCTTTGCCAACGCCATAAACTACTCAGCTGCTATACCGTCGGCTCATCTTGATCGAGTGCAACAACGCCAGCATTGGTCTGGATTTTGATTAGTTAAACGCGGTACCAATGTTGCTATTCACAAGCTTTGAGTAGTGTTCCCTGAATATCACAGGTGTACTCTGGATGCCTGTTACCAGATTTCCATCTTCGTCTCTACAGGAACTAGCTCCGGTCTTGAAATCAGTTGACTGCTGCCTTAGTTTTTGAATTTTCGAGCCAAGCTGTTCGTAGATTTGTGTATTTTTGTCTCTCGTTTCTTTCTTTTGAAAATTTATCCATCGTCTCTCCTTTCCTGCTAATATCAGTCAACTGTTGCTCAAGTATCTATGAAGTAAGACGACACTCTTCGTTGTAGCAGTTGCTCCTGCATGGGCGGTACTAACCAACCGCAGTGTGAAGAAGAGGTTTCGAAATAAAATCCCACTGCTCACTTCTATCCTCTACCATGTTCCGCGCCGCAGCAAACTCGATAAACCGTTATCGGAGTTATTTGCAACGAAATATTTCTTCTTTATCAATGGGGCGGGGCGGCGGTGCTGACATAGTTCCTTCACGCGTTCGTAGAACTTTTATGCTACGTTTAAATTGATAAATATCACGCACTATTTTACAATTAAGGCGAGCAGAAATAAAATTTTAAATAAAAGCCAAAAAAATTTATAATAATTAGAGCATTATAGCTATAAAAGTGTATTAACATACATGGATATACATTTGCATTTCATTCGGGTGCCACGAAAAACTGCCACCACCACAAGCACCAACATTAGGGCCAGCCACCGCTTCAACGAGCAATGATATACACAAACGCTGGCAATATTTGTTAAAATAAGAAAATACAACACAGCAAGTATGTAGGTAGATACATATTTAGACAGACAGAAGTACTCGTTCATAGACGACATAACCGTTATAAAGCGGCAGTTGACATGTTCAAGTGGCAAGCAGCAATCGTTGCCACCAACACGCTGACATTGTCTCAATGGGTGAGCGGGTGTATTTAAGTTTGAGTATGTTTAAGTGAATGTAGGATGTCATCGTCGCCATCGTCATCGTTATCATCGTTAGCGGCGTACGTTGACGTACTTCAACACTCCGCAATTGTCAGCTAAGCAAAAACAAAACCAAATACAAAGACAAACCAACTGAGGGGGATAAAAAGGACCAAAACAAAACAAGCGCTAGTACTTTTGATCTTGTTTAGTTGTTATCAGCTTTTGTTTTGTTAGATATTGTTCCATTCGTATTCCCATTCGCATTCAAATTCATTTGCATGCTTTTTGGTTTTTTTTTTTTTGTTTTATTTTTTTTTACGCTCTGCCACTAAATACAAGCATGTTTTGTATTCATTGCAAATGCGTGTGAACAAA